CGCGGCGTTCCACGATTAGTTATTAACTACAAACCTTTGAATGATGTTCTAGAATGGATCCGATATCCAATCCCCAACAAAAGAGATTTGATAAAAAGACTTTCTCAAGCAACTATTTTTTCCAAATTTGATATGAACTCAGGCTTTTGGCAAATTTAAATTCATGAATCTGATAAGTACAAAACAGCTTTCGTAACTCCTTTCGGACACTATGAGTGGAATGTAATGCCCTTCGGCTTGAAAAACGCACCAAGTGAATTTCAAAATATCATGAATGAGATTTTTAATCAATACAGCCATTTTTCAATTGTTTATATTGATGATTTATTAATTTTATCAAAATCAATAGATGAGCATTGGAAGCATTTGCATGCATTTACTAGGATCATTAGGTCTAATGGGTTAGTCGTCTCGGCAACCAAAATTAAGTTGTTTCAAACCAAGATTAGATTTTTAGGTTACCATATTTACAGGTCTACCATTCAGCCAATTGATCGAGTCATCCAGTTTGCTGATAAATTTCCAGATCAAACCCAGCTTCAGAGATTCCTTGGTTCACTCAATTATGTTTCAGAATTTTATCCTCATCTTCGTCAACAATGTAAACCTTTGTTTGATCGTCTCAAGGAGAATCCTCCATCATGGTCTCAAAATCACACTTCCATTGTCAAACAAATAAAAAATCATGTCAAGACTTTGCCTTGCCTTGGCATTCCAACTCCCAACTCTCTCAAAATAGTTGAGACCGACGCATCCGATGTCGGTTATGAAGGTATCCTCAAACAGAAAACTTCTTCCGAATCTCCTGAACAAATTGTTCGTTTCCATTCAGGAATTTGGAATCCGGCTCAACGTAACGATAGTACTATTAAAAAAGAGATTTTATCAATTGTATTATGCATTAGCAAATTCCAAGATGATTTATTAAATCAAAAATTTTTAGTTCGTATTGATTGCAAATCTGCAAAACATGTTTTATAAAAAGATGTTCAAAATATTGCATCAAAACAGATTTTCGCACGCTGGCAAGCCATATTAAGTATTTTTGATTTTGAAATTGAATACATTAAAGGCAGCCAGAATTGCATACCAGATTTTCTGACCAGAGAATTTTTGCAGGGGAAGAATGGGTACTAATCCTACTCAACAATGAAGGCTCCCAGCCACCCTTACCCAAACCCCAGCACCAATAAAACAAGAGTCCATTCCCGACTCTTCATCGGCCTTCGCCATTACAAACAGATTTACTCCCTTAGGATCAACAGTAGGAAATATCCGACCAAATTACCAAATGGCCTTAGCCACCCCTTATGATCCTTACTCTTCAGTAGGTTCTCTAGCACCTTCACAACCCAAAACACCTAGCTATGCTAAAACATCCCCATATGTCCAAAACCCCAATTCAGAAAAGCTTTTTAGCATCCCTTTTCACATCGACAAAAACCAACCCCAGAGCGCATTGCCAAATTACTCCTTCCACCAAATTTTCATTTCTTACCAACTGAATCCTATAAAAGCCTAAAATATTACCAGGCCATCCTTTTAGAAACAGAAAGCATTGCTATTAAGCCAATTTACAACACCACTCATCAAAACAAAATATTGTATCATTCACTCCATATTGGAAAATTCCTTACCTAACTCGAATGGGGAATTCCCCTTTATCACACAAAATCCCTTTATACTCAGCATGTTCTCATCCCAAACAACGATTACAATTACTATGATTATATCCAAGCATGGACCAACATTTTCCTCCACCAGACAGAAGATTTTAGTCATTCATGGTTCATAACCTTTGATAAGAATTTCAGATTGCGGTTTCCGGCATGGTTTCCAGATTGGTGGGCTTCCCATGGCCCAAGCTCTTCTATCATTCCAGATGACCTTCGTCATGTGCTCACAAACAATTTCCAACCCAGTTTTGACAGAAGTCGTTTCGACAACAGAATTACTATTTTTTCACTGCTCATGGCCAAGTATAAGATCCCATGGATTCTCAAATGGAACTTTGAAGTTGACACTGGTGGTATTTACAGAACCCGATGGGTAAAATGGTGGGATAAATTCAACCACCAAAAAATTATTGATCTTGTAAAAGTGGAATTTCCCCAAGCATCTTCTCAGGCACTGCCAATTAAAGTTTCAACTTCGTCCTCACAAGCTTTGCCAATTCATCAGCAATTTCCTGAGTTGCCAAAAACCCAGGAGCCAGTTCAATCACTATCAGACATTAGTCCGTCGTCTTTTCTCAAAGGAAAACCTTCTAAGTCATCCAGCTCGAAGAAAAAAGAGAAATCTGATAAGTTTTCCCAGCTCTTGGATATGGCCCAGCAGCTTATGACAGAAGCAGCAATGCTGCACAAAAGAAGAAGTTCAGACTTGGACTCAGACGCCTCTGATGCCTCGTCTCAACTTCCCGCCAAATGGGCAGATCAGGCAAATCTTCAAGATGCCCAGGACGCATTTGATTTTTGATTTTAGAATGTAATCTTTGCCCATGTGATCATATCAGCATCAGCAGTAGCTATTATCATTACAGATTCCTGACAATACACTATTCATCAACAGTGAAAGACAAGAAGTCACTATTCATCAATAGTGAAAGAAGTCACTATTCATCAATAGTGAAAAACAAAAAAGTCACTATTCATTCAACTTTTGTAAAAATAACAACGTGACTCCACAGTAAGGATTCTTCAATCAGCCAGCTTTGCCAGCTTTCTCCTCTTGCCAACGGGATTCCCGGATTAAAATTGCATTCCTCAATCATTCTCCTCCCTCTATAAAAGAGGAATTCATCTTCAGAAGAAACACGGGTTTTTTAACTCAATAGTTCAGTTCAAGAATACATCTCTCTGCTTATCCACAAAGGACAGAGATTATTTTCCCAAACACTTGTAATACATATATTATTCAGGATGCCTGCGAGCTCCACCTTGTTTACATGTTTCATCTGCCATTAGGTAATACCTGTTTGTAATCTGCATTGCAATAAGTTTTCAATAAAACTTATTTTCCAAATATATTTGCATCATTACATTTAATTCATTATTCTTTTTAATTCAATATATTGATATGCTTCTTTGTTTTTATATGCTTTACTTCCGCACACTGAATTCTATGGAAGGCTTTGCCTCCTACAATATGGAAGGCTATGCCTCCTACCACTAGTTCCACCCCATTTGGTATATATATATATATATATATATATATATATATATATATATATATATATATATTAATTAATGAAACCCTATTAGTCTTCTATCACACAAAAAAAATGATGGGCGATAATGTAATTTCACAAGTCCAAATTTTACTATTTTTTATTGAATCCTTACCTACAAGTGATGTTAAAATACCTCTAATATTTATATAAAAAAATAAAAAAATAAAAAACCAAAAACAAAAGCCTCCCACTTCCCCCCTGTTCTCTCTCTCTCTCTCTCTCTCTTTCTCCTTCTCTCCTTCTCATTTTCTAAAAAAATGTGTTCGTACACACAAAGTGTGTAGGCAAGTGCTAGGATATAAGGAAAAAAAGAGAAATAAGGATAAATATAAAGATTTAAAAAAAGAATAATATAACATTAAAAAATATAATAAAAAGATGTTTTTTCTACCGGCCAATCATAAGCATATTTAGGGAAAAACAAAAAAAGAGTTATCTAATATGTATCTTGGATATGAGGAAATAAATATTAAAAGCAAAAGTGAAAAGTAAGGAGATGGCGGGTAATAAATGTCAATAACTGAAGATAGTGGGGTAATAAATATTAACAAAGTGGGGCAGTTAAAGCTTTAAAGACAAAAGCTAAAAATTAAAAAACAAACTCATCCTAAAAAACCCTAGCCATCGTCTACATCTCCTTGGTTGGTTTCTTGGTATGTAACTCAAAAACAGCCCTATAACTAAAAGAAATCCAAATTTCCGCAGCCTAAAAATAAAAAAGGGACACCCAATTGATGCCTTAGGCGCCTAGTCGCACCTCGACGAGCCTAGGCTAGTATTCGCCCACTCCCACAACACAAAGGTGAAAATGGTGAAGCCCCACCTCCAAGGCCGCCTAGGCGCGCCCCGAGGCGAGTTTTTTAAAACACTGGCTAGATGTAAACTCTTTCCCCATAACCAGCATTATTTGAAGGTCTGTTATCAAATGCTTTTATAGGAATAGCAGCAAACTCACATTTCCAAAACAATGTAATGAAAGCAATAATCATTGAAACAATATGCTTTAATCCACTAGTGTGAGTAAGCTAAACAACTTGCCATGCAACTATTGCCTCAACAACTAGGTCAATTACAGCTGCAATATGGTTGTGGTATTTAGTTACCCTGGGAAAGTCCCAACTCTTGTTTGTTAAAACTGTTAAATTCCAATTCAGCAGTTTAGCGAAAATACTTACCAATGGCCTTATATCCAATACCTTAAGTAATTCACCATGTAGAGAAGCATCAGGAATGAAATCTGACATCATATGATCAAATAGTTGAAGAGCAGAGAGAGAGAGTAGTTATGATCGAGTCGCTAACTACCTGAAAAAGTGATGTGGTTGAGATCTTTTGGCAATGACCATAAATAGTAGAAATAAATTCAGCGAGCTGAAACATTACATCCAAAGTTGAATGTGGAATTTCGTGCAATATATTGAGCGACAATATCTTGGAGTATCATTGAAGATTGTTTCTTTTCCTTAATTATAGGAATAGATTGATTCGTGTAATTCATGTATAGTTGACTTCCTAGAATAGCCACATGTATATTGTATAAATCTTATGCTCCTTGTAAAGAAAAGGTTGTATGAAATAAAACTATCTTCAATATTTTCCTCTCACGGCCTAAACCCTAGGAACTGTGAAACCCTAGCAGGTCTATATTTTAACATGGTATCAGAGCACCGTTTTTGGTGACTCTGAATACCCCCCTCAACGCTTCCGCACCACAACAAACAACATCATCATCATGAGTGATTCATGAACCAACACAAAATCATTAGAGATGGCTACCAATCTTTCGAACCCATTCTTATTACACCCCTCTGATCAACCTGGGAACATCTTGGTCTTCAAAACTCTTCAAGGAGACAACTACAACATATGGAGCCGTGCTATGCGCATCAGTCTAAGTGCTAAGAACAAGCTAGGCTTGGTCGATGAAACTATTGACCCAGCTGCTGAAATAGATAAACAATTTGCATTGTGGCAACGATGCAATGACATGGTCCTCGCGTGGATCCTAAATTCTGTGCATGAAGACATTGCAAGTAGCATCTCCTACTACACATCAGCAGCAGATGTGTGGGCTGACTTGTGTGATCGTTTCTCCCAAGGGAATGATTCACATGTTTATCAAATTAAGAGAGAAATTGTTGACCGCAGACAGGAGCAACAATCGATCTCAGTCTACTACACAAAATTAAAGGCATTGTGGGATGAATTGACGTCCTATCATAAGCCCCCAACATGCACTTGTGGGGGTTTGAAAAAGATTAATGAACGCGATGAAAAGGAAAGTGTGATGCAGTTTCTCATGGGATTAAATGAGTCTTATGTTGCAGTACGTGGCAAATCGTGTTGATGCAGCCACTTCCAGACACTCGAAAGGCATACTTTCTTGTTTTACAACAAGAGAAGCAAGTGGAGGTATCTCTCATTCGTAATAACAACAATTTGCATGCTATGCATTTGACAAGCAACAGGGAACCTGCTGCACAACGAGGTAATTCCTCCATTAAATGCTCATATTGTGATAAAAAATACCATACTGTGATCGATGCTTTTATCTCTATGGCTTCCCACCGGGGCACAAATACCATGGCAAAAAGGTGATCCCTCCTAAAAAGAAGAAACATGCGGCCAACCAAATAAAGGCTAGCAATGAAGTCTCCAAAGTCACTGATCAAGAAGTTGCGGGGTGAGTTGTTTGATAAAATGCAGCGTTCATGGTTTTTACTTGATATTTATCCATGTGGTATCCTACTTCCCAATCTTTTGAATCTTTTAGTGACAATGTTACTTATTGTGTTAAAATATAGACCTACTAGGGTTTCGCAGTTCCTAGGGTTTAGGTCGTGAGAGGAAAATATTGAAGATATTTTTATTTCATACAACCTTTTCTTTACAAGGAGCACAAGATTTATACAATATACATGAGGCTATTCTAGGAAGTCAACCATACATGAATTACACGGATCAATATGTTCCTATAATTAAGGAAAGGAAACAATCTTCAATGATACTCCAAGATATTGTCGCTCAATACTCCCCCTCAAGATGGAGTGTGAATGTCAATCACACCCATCTTGCCAAGTAATGATTGAAACACCCCTTGTCCAAGCGGCTTGGTGAATATATCGGCTAACTGTGCTCTAGTATGAACGTAAGTTGTTGTGATAACCCTTGATTGAATACGCTCATGAACAACATGGCAATCGATCTCTATATGCTTGGTATGCTCGTGGAACATGGGATTGGCTGCTATATGTAGGGCCGCTTGTTTGTCACAATGTAGTTTCGCTGGCACGCGATGATCAACTCGTAAGTCAGCCAACAAATATTTCATCCATGTAAGCTCACATGTTGCAAAAACCATGGCACGACACTCTGCTTCTGCTAAAGATCGAGAAACGGTCGTTTGTTTCTTAGTCTTCCAAGACACCAATGCATCACCAAGGAATATGCAATAACCCATGATGGATCTCCTCGTAATTGAACATCGAGCCCAATTAGCATCACAATATCCAGCCAAGATTAAGTCCCCCTTTGAAGGAAATAGAAGTCCTTATTTAGGTGCCCCTTTTAAGTATTGCAAGAGACGATGAACTGCATCTAAATATGGTTTTCTTGGTTGTTGCATGTATTGGCTGAGTACATGAACTGCATATGAAATTTGTGGCCTAGTGATCGTGAGGTAAATGAGTTTACCAACAAGCCTCCTATACTTCGAGGCATCATGAAGAACTTGCCCCTCCGTTGGAGATAACTTCAAGTTTTCTTCCATGGCAAATTTTGCAAGTTTGGCACCAAGTAAGCCTGCTTCATTAAGAATATCAAGCGTGTATTTTCGTTGAGAGATAGAAATACCTTGAGAAGACTGAGCCACTTCTACACCGAGAAAATATTTTAATGGTCCAAGGTCCTTGATTTGAAAATGAGTGTGAAGAAACTGTTTGAGATCACGAATGGCTTCTTCATCGTTGCCTGTGATAATCATGTCATCGACGTAGATTAGTGTAGCTATGAATGAGTGATCACATACCTTGGTGAACAAGGAATAATCAGCCTTGGATTGTTGATATCTGGCTCGGTGTATGGCAGTGGAAAATTTGTGAAACCAGCTTCGAGATGCTTGTTTGAGCCCGTAAAGCGACTTGTTGAGTCGGCATAAATTATGTTCCCCCTACAGGCGAAGACCGGGAAGCAACTGCATATGGGCTTCTTCCCCAAGGTCTCTATGGAGGAAGGCATTTTGAATATCCATTTGGTGGAGAGACCAATGACGAACAGAAGCCACGGCCAAAAGACAACGGACAGTAATGAGTTTGGCAACAGGGGCGAATGTCTCTTTGTAATCGATACCTTCATGTTGTGTAAAGCCCTTGGTAACAAGGCGAGCTTTATAACGCTCGACAGACCCATCTGAATGATACTTGACCTTATAGACCCACGTACAACCAATGGCTCAATGACTGGGAGAAAGGCAAATGAGAGTCCAAGTATGATTTTGTTCCAAAGCTAGGAGTTCGGATTGCATGGTAGCTTGCCATTGAGGATCACTATTAGCCTTCTCGAAAGTAGTAGGTTCGACAATGGTAGAAAGGGCATAAGCAAAAAAAAACGGTGTGAAGAAGGAAGATGAGCATAAGAAACATAATAAGATAAAGGGTAGCGTGTACTTGACATGGAAGAGGAGGTGGCACTGGGAGCAAGAGATTGTACATGATATAAATGGTAGCCCTAAAGTCGCACATATGGTTTAGGAAGACGGTTGGAGTGGCAAATGGCAAGAGGAAGGGGAGAAGAAGTAGGTGCGGTGATGAAGATGTCCTGGGAAGGTGTGGTGTCGAGGGAAGGTCTTGTGTCGAGTGGTGGTAGAGTGGTGGGGTTTGTGGTAGGGGCAGGTGGATTTATAGTAGGGGTAGGTGTAGGTGGAATACTAGTGTCGAGAGGATGAGGTGATAAGGATGGGTTAATGGTAGGATCAAGGGGTAGAGGTAGGATAACACTATCAGGGTGGTGATCCAGTGGCTAGGAAATAAAAGGAAAGGTGTCCTCATGAAAGACCACATCACGGGAAGTAGAGAATTTGTGGGTAGTGAGTTCATAAACACGGTACCCCTTTTGGCCAAGAAGATATCCAACAAAAATGCATTTCCGAGCACGTTGATCAAATTTATGTGTGGGAGTGAGATTCGTGGCATAGCATAAGCAACCAAACACATGCAAGTGAGTAAAATCTGGAAGTGTATAATGTAAAAGCTCGAAGGGAGTTTTGTGGTGAAGGAGTGGTGTGGGTAAGCGATTGATTAAATAACACGCTGTTTGAACACTTTTCCCCCAAAAAGTTAAAGGTAAATTGGCTTGAAATCGAAGTGCTCTCCCAACATTTAAAAGATGGCGATGTTTTCTTTCAACGACCCCATTTTGTTGGGGAGTAGAAGGACAAGAAGTGTGAAACACAATACCCTTGCTATCAAAAAAAGATCGTAAAGAAATGAATTCAACCCCGTTATCTGCCTTAATCGTCTTGATCATACAGTTAAATTGTGTTTGAACCCAAGCAATGAAGGAACATAACAACCCTTGTGTTTCAAATTTTAAATGCATAGGATGAATCCAAGTAAAACGTGAATAATCATCCACAATGGTCAAAAAATATCAAGCCCCCGAATGGGAATTAACTCAATGAGGTCCCCAAATATCACAATGTATTAAATCAAAAGGTGTTTGAGATGAAATAAAACTTGATGGAAAAGATAAATGAGTTTGTTTAGCAAGAGGACAAATGTCAAATGAATGACTAGAATCAAACATAATAGTTGGAACTTGCTTGGTCAAAAGTTGTAGGGGACCGGTGGAGGGATGTCCTAAGCATCGGTGCCAAAGATTTGAATGACGGTTGACATTGTGAGCAAGGTGAGGATTTTGTTTGGATGACAAGTAATAGAGCCCATTATATCGCTTGCCCAGGCCAATCATCCTCCTCGTATCCATGTCCTGTATCACACAAAAGGTGGGAAAGAAAATCACTATGCATTGTAGAGACTCAGTGAGTTTGCTAACGAATAATAAATAAACTTGAAAATTTGGAACATGTAACACATCATCAAGTTTAATAAGAGGAGTGGCTTGGACGGAACCAACAGACTCTATAGTGGCTTTTCCCCTATTCGGCGTTTGTACATAGTCAAACATAGATTTCCTGCCAAGCAAGTGAGGTGAAGGAGATATATGATCCGTTGCCCCACTATCAATGATCCAATATAGGGTTTTCTGTGGTAAGGCTCCTGACGTATTAGACAGAGGTGTAAATGTATCTGTGGCGTTTGCAAAGTGTTGGGAATTACCATCAAGGTTGCTTTTCTTGAGCATGGCCATGATTTGATTGTACTCTTCAGCAGTGAACTTGGGCCCATCACTTTTCCACATTAGTGCCACCCTGATCAAATATTGGTAAGGACAACATTTTCATAACATCTTTTTTGAAGCACAAAGTTTAAATAATTGGGGAAGCTTAAAATGGCCGAACTCGAAATCAGACTTGCCATTTCCTTTTGCTTTCTTGAAAGAATAATAGTTTGATGTCTGGCATTTCTTGAAAGAAGATCAAAAGCTTGAAACGTTTGGCCCCTACCTTTACCGCGGATTCCCCTATTTGGCATTTCATCAAACAATTAAGATGCATTCATGCTTGCAGTGTATCTAGCATTGAAAGTGATTTTTAAGCTCTGATTCATAAGGTTTATTGACTTCACGAACTTGTAGCAACTCTATAACCCTCTGCCAAAGGCCCAAGTCAAGATATTTGGAAATGGAAATCGATTGGATTGTTGATTGCTGCGTCGCAATGACCGGACATTGCGATTGTGGGAGACTCATCGACACTCGCTCAGCACGCTTCTCCTCCATCATGGATTGTTGATTTCAGCCATGCGGGACAGAAACTCAACTTGTCCTAAGGAAATCGTTGCCATCATGTTTTGAACAACTCAAAACTTAGCCGCCCAATGATTCGGTCGGGACTCAATTTTGGCCTCCACCGCGGTGGTGGTAAGTTTGTAACAACCGTCTGCAGAGGTCCCAGTGGAACCAATCCGGCTCTTAATACCAGATGATGAAGCCATTTCGTAATAAAAGAAGAAAGGAAAATGCAAGAAATTAAACAACAATATTCTGTTAGTGTTTGTATTCTAATTAATCAATCAGGCTATACAATGCTCCATATGCAAGCACAAACCCCTCACGTTGATCTACATAATCCCCTCATGTAGTACTCCGTTAAGAAAAAGAGATTTGACGTCTAGTTGATATAACTTGCAACATTTCTAAGTTGCAAGTACAATCAAATTTCTTATTATG